GCTGAAAAAAACTGTTGACTAGAAAAGGAAACCAAAAATTCGAAAAAAAGTTGTTATATGCGCGTTGTCCCCCCTTAAGTTAAATTGACAAAAAAGGAACCGTTTAACTGTGTTCATTTGTTCCTATTCTCAGAAGTTCTTGGCTTCTGTTTGGTCTTTCCACTGCCAGCGATCTTTTTGAGGGAGCGGTGCTGCTGCCTGCTGTGATCTTTTGTCTTCAGAGTGGCACCCTTCTCAGTGGACTTTTTTCGATCAGGATGTGTCTTCAAGCGAGTTTCACTGTCCGTAGATTTGGAGGTCTTCTTGTTTCCCGCCGCCTCCTTTGTGGGCACATCTTTGGATTTAGCTTTCTGCTTCGGGTCACTTCCACTGCGTTTCATTCGCTCTTTCGACTTGCTGTTCATCGTCACACAGGGCGGCTGAGTGCGCAGTTTGCTGCCGCCGCGTTCAGGAACTTCGGCGTTCTTAGTTTTTGATGTCTTCTTTGTGAGTCCTCCGCCTGCGTTGTGGCCACCACCACAATTGTCTTTATTTCTTCTATTCGGCTCCAGGATAGTCGACGTTGAGTTTGTGGAGTTTGTTGAGCCTGGTATACTTCCCAAAGCCGTCCCATGTTCAAACTCCAGATTGTTCTTGTTCTTTGGCAGTATCTCACCCAGCAACGACGGATCAAAGGCGGAGTGGCCGACGTGAGCCACCTCATTGCCCTTCAAGTCGAGCATCGGCGTTGGGTGGTGGCTCTCAGGGTCGTCCTCTTCAGTGTCTCTCTTGCTGTCTCGATTGAACTTTTTGTCCTCTCGGTGGGACTTTTTAGTGGCCGTGGTCGCCGGCTTGCCATGCTCACTGGCATGTTCACCTTCGTGTTGTCGGTCGCTCTCCGCCTTGGCGGCCATTGGATCGCTGTTGTGTCTCATGTTTTCAGCTGAATGAAAATGTGGCTGCAACTTTGGTCAAACATTAAAGTACACTGCTATTGTTCGGTAGTTCGAAGTTTTATTATCGTTTAAAATTCGAAAAATGTAGCTAAGCAATTTTATTATTGATTTTTGGCGTATTTTTGAGTTTATTTTAGTAAAAACAAAAGAACGAGAAAATCGATTGCTCAGTTTTTCGGCTTTTGTTTTACACTTACTCGTCTTGATTGTTTACTTCGGTCTTTCTTTCAACAGAGGCAACCACTCAAAATTGCATTTTTAAATTTAAAAATGTATAATCGATCCAGACAGCGGTTACCATCAGTTACGGGCGCGGTGCAAACAAAGATAAATGAATGCCTGCGTTTGCCTTTTTCCAAGCCTCACCAGCTTACATAGTTCAAACAACCTTTCTTCACGGTGTCTCTAGGGGTAACCATCACCGCTGCCAGCACCTGAGTACGGCTGGCGTTTTTTCTTTTGCAAAAGTATTGCAATTGTGCTCAGAACACTTTTGAGAGCAAAGGGAAAGGTCACCACCACCTTCAGTTTTTATCAAAGTCTCATCATCACCACTTTCCATCATCATCATCATGGAGGACACTGCCCCGATAATTGACGGCACCGTGGAGGCTGACAACCTGACCGCGGCGGACAACTCGACCATGAACTGGGCCAGTGACTGGCTGGGCTATATTGCCCTCTGCATGTTCTCCATGGTTTTGCTCATTCCGACGCTGGGAATTGTCGGTCTCATGGTCTGGGAGTACTTTTCAGATGAAGCCGAACGAAAGGCAGAGCGACAGAAGGAGATTGATGTTGCGGTGAAACTAAGTTTCCATTGTGTCATTTTCAATTTTTTAATTTTTTAATAATTTTTAGATGAATAATCACTTTAATCCAAAGCCTGAAGGCGAAGAAGAAGAAGAGGAAAAGGACACCAGCTCGGAAGATGAACTTCGAGATGTTGATGAGGTGCTGAAGCAGGCGGAGACAATGCTCAAGAAGCGACGACGACCGGTCAAGGAGGACGAGGAAAAATCACCAAATGATTTTGATTCAATNATTCTAAATGACGGTGGACAAACTTCGAACATCAGCAAGTTGGATAAATTGAGCAACATTGAGTGATGTCGGCTACTTGTGTGTTTTTGTATTGTTTGTTGTAGTTATTTTATTTGTGTTATACCTGCTACTTTGTCACTGTTGTTACTTTGCCGTGGTCCTGTTATTATCCACTGGCCTGTGTTTACTTGTTCTGATCGTCACTTGGATAAGGTAAAATTTTAATAAAATTGTAGANCGGAAGATGAACTTCGAGATGTTGATGAGGTGCTGAAGCAGGCGGAGACAATGCTCAAGAAGCGACGACGACCGGTCAAGGAGGACGAGGAAAAATCACCAAATGATTTTGATTCAATTCTCACATAATCTAGATTTATACTTGGATAAGGTAAAATTTTAATAAAATTGTAGAAAAAAATTCAAAAATTGTAAACGACTCTTTTTCTGTACATGAAAGTCTTTAGATACATCTGTAAAATGTTTAATAAAATTTTTTATTAACTACATAAATTGAATTTTTTAAATGTAAAAATAAGTACATTTTGCACACAAAACACGCAAAAAACCGTTTATTTAAAAAACTACATTTGAGAATGTTCTAGTGTGTTGCCTACNCTCTTTTTCTGTACATGAAAGTCTTTAGATACATCTGTAAAATGTTTAATAAAATTTTTTATTAACTACATAAATTGAATTTTTTAAATGTAAAAATAAGTACATTTTGCACACAAAACACGCAAAAAACCGTTTATTTAAAAAACTACATTTGAGAATGTTCTAGTGTGTTGCCTACAAAAAAAGATCAACATCGGTGAATATAACAACATTGAAAATGGCAAAGTTTGCACTGGATATAGTCATTTGAATTGCAAATTACCTAAGCGATGGAAATAGAAATCAGATCTATTGGAGAAACTTATCTTGTAAAGGTGACAGATTTTTGCGCGAAAGCAGTAAATCTCTGTAACGCAGTCACAGGAATATTCTTACTTTTAAATATTTTATTCGCCAACTTTAATTAGTGAAATGNTTGAATTGCAAATTACCTAAGCGATGGAAATAGAAATCAGATCTATTGGAGAAACTTATCTTGTAAAGGTGACAGATTTTTGCGCGAAAGCAGTAAATCTCTGTAACGCAGTCACAGGAATATTCTTACTTTTGGATATTTTATTCGCCAACTTTAATTAGTGAAATANCATTGAAAATGGCAAAGTTTGCACTGGATATAGTCATTTGAATTGCAAATTACCTAAGCGATGGAAATAGAAATCAGATCTATTGGAGAAACTTATCTTGTAAAGGTGACAGATTTTTGCGCGAAAGCAGTAAATCTCTGTAACGCAGTCACAGGAATATTCTTACTTTTAAATATTTTATTCGCCAACTTTAATTAGTGAAATGGAAACGTATCCTCGGTTACATTTCCATCTCAACTCATTACACATTTGTCAAATTGGTTCTCTCATTAAAATTGCAATTATTTTTAAATCAAACACAGTGTTTAACACAGAAAACGTGATTTTCAGTCAGTTTTATTATTGTTTGTAGTGATGATAGGAAAATGTGCAGCAATTAAACTTTTTGTACAGTGTGATGGTGGGTGAAAGGGGTAAAGGCGAAAAATGTGTGTGTGTGTGTGGGTGGGTGAGTAGAGGCAAGGAGAAAAATAATTAGAAAAGGGTTACAAAATCAGAGTAAATCTTATTTTTCTTTGAGAAAAAAAGTGTCTACCCCTTCTTAAAGTCGCCTAGTGTCGTCCGTTCTACTCTCGGGGACGCACTCGGGAATAGAGCCACTCCATCTGCCCGACTCAATGCACTTCAGTGCGGCATTGCCCCTCATTTCGTAGCCATCAGCGCACTCAAATTCAATCGTCTGATTGAGTGGGTAGAAGAAGCGGACTTCGGAGAGCAGACGAGCACCGTGCTGAACGCCCGGGTAGGTGCAGGCGGCGATGCACCGAGGCGGTGGCCCACTCCAGCGGCCATTCTCCTGGCAGATGCTAATCGGGTTGCCTAGGAAGGAGAGGGGGAAAAGTTTAGCATCTAAAAAGTTATCTACAGCTGCCGTACCTTCAAGCATGAACCCGGGCTGACAGGTGTACTGANGGAAGGAGAGGGGGAAAAGTTTAGCATCTAAAAAGTTATCTACAGCTGGCTTACCTTCAAGCATGAACCCGGGCTGACAGGTGTACTGTNTGCACCGAGGCGGTGGCCCACTCCAGCGGCCATTCTCCTGGCAGATGCTAATCGGGTTGCCTAGGAAGGAGAGGGGGAAAAGTTTAGCATCTAAAAAGTTATCTACAGCTGGCGTACCTTCAAGCATGAACCCGGGCTGACAGGTGTACTGTACAATGTCGCCGGCGTCGTGGGCCACCGGCGCCAGCTGCGGATCGACCAGGCCTTCGAGGTAGCCGAGGTGAGGCACTGCCGGCGCCGGACAGCGCACCTCACTGCAGTAGGGCACCGGGTGAGACCAGTTGCCCGTCTCCAGACAGTGCAACTGGTGCGAGCCCATCAAGCCGAAGCCCTTGGGACAGGTGAAGATGTAGGTGGAGCCAATCTGGTGGTTCGGCGGAAGGGGCGGCTGAATGGTTGCCGGGATGATCGACGTGTGAGAGGGACTCGAGTCGAGGTGAGCGTGCGAGGAGAGGGATGAGCACTCGGTGACTAAAGGAAAATAAAATATGGGTTCAAAATGTTTTGGCAACCTAAAAAAGCACTTTACCTCTGCACTGCGGAATAGGATGAGACCACCTGCCAGAGTAGAGACAAGTGGCCGAGGTGACGCCCACTAGATCGTGATTGGGCTGACAGGAAAACTCGACATGACTGCCGAGTAGTGTTATCTTGGAAGAAACTTGAAGTCCGGGGCTTTGCTCCAGTGATTCGCAGTGGATGGCTAAAAGTGAAATTAATACAAAAAATGATAAAACAAATGATAAAACTTACCTTTGACTAGCACTTCAACCGAGTGTGAATGTGATCCAGGAGTGACGCAAGTGTACACGCCCGAATCTTGCTCTTTAGCATGAAAGATTGTCAGTCGGTACGCCAGTGAGTTGATGACGTCTTCTGTTGCCCATTCTGAAAAAAAACAACAGCAATGTTTGAGTTTTATAAAACAAAAAAATAAAATGCTTTTACGTTGTTGGTACTCTTGAGCACGGCCAGGATGCGTCCAACTCCACGATGGACTGCCCAGCTTTCTCTGGAAAAGACATTCCAGGTGAAGAATGGTTCCGGGATAGACGAGCAGTTTTCCGTCCGCAGTTTGCTCAATTGGGCCATTGGAATTTCGAAATTGAATCGTTGGCGGCTTGTTGACTGAAAATGATTTGAAAATGCATTTGTAAAAAGATGGTTAACACACTTTGCCCAAATGCATACCATCATAGTCGAAAGCCTGATTCAGCCCAATACAGCGATTACTTTCCTCATCGGGCGACCACACTCCATTGCGACAGAGACGCTCCTTTGCTCCCGTCAGCTGGTACTTGCCAATGTCCTTACAGCGAATCAGAATGAGACTGTCATGCGGAAAGGTCATATTTGAATAGCCGGCCAGCTGAGTGGAGTCACTGCCATTGAAGACCAGCACATTGGCGTCGTCTGCCGTGAAAGTGCACGGTTGCGGTAGCGGGGGTGGCGTCGATTTGGTCGGCATGGCAATGCTTTCGGGAGGTGCAGTGCTCGTAGTGCTGAGGTCGTCTTCTGCGATAGAAAGCAACAGTTTAGGAATCAGTGTTTCTAATTGAGTTTCTACTACTCACCACACATGAAGGCACTGCCCACCCAGTTGCCATTGTCGCACTTGATGATCCACGTACTGCGCTCCTGAGCTGGCGGCGGCAGATTGGTGGTTGCCAACTGTGTCTCCTCCGGAGCTCCTTCGTCTGTCAGAGAATATGCTTTGGGCAAAGCCATCATCCCGGCGGGAATTTGGTAGCTGATGCAGCGAAAGACGATTTCAGTGCCGTGTTCGTACTGGTACAGCATACTCGAGTCATTGCTGTTTCGAGTTGCTCTTGAGCTCTCGAGGCTGTCAAACTGGGCTATGCTGATGGGCTGCAGGTGAGGTGGTGCGCTCTGACTGCCGCCACCGCCGTTTCCTCCGCTGAAGAGCTGCCCAAAGTAGTGAAGGGCGTTCTCAATTTTCTTCGGAGAGTGACAAAATGTGGGCGGCACTCGTGGGCTGTTGTTGTTGTTGTTTGCTGACTCGGCCGCAAAACCTGCTGAAGCGACGGAGACTGAAGTGTTGATGCAGAAGGGCAGCTCGGGTTCGAGCTTTCCTAGAACACACTTTACGTTTGACGACTCCTGGTCGGAGGAGTCAGGGCCTCCTCGAGGCTCAACTGACCGCTTGAAGCCTTTGTCACAGCTAAACTTGACGGCCACGTCGTGCTCTATGATCTGATTTGGCTCGTGGCCGTTGAGGTATCCGCCGTGCGGCACCGGTGGAAGACGACAGCCCAGCGGAATGCATGTTGAGGTGGAGGCAAAGGAGTCCCAAGAGCCGAAGGAGCACTTCAGAGTGACATTGAGTAAAGGGGTGGCACTGGGCGGGTAGTGGTAGCCGGGAGAGCAGACGAGGTCTATGGTCGAGTTGTGGGACACTGACTGGCCCGGAATGAGGAAAATTGTGCTCGGCTTTGGACGGATTTTCCGGTGGTGAAAGCGGGAGCTGATGCGAAAATGACCATTGGGTATTGTCGGCGTGATACAGGGCACTGGGAAAAAAGATGTTAGCGTGGGTAAAGTTGGTGGTAAAAGCCAAAGCTTACTGGGAATGCAATCAGGTAGTTCAGGTTTCCAGCGACCTTTGGCACACTTGATCAAGGTTCGGTTTGGATTCGACGACGAGTAGCCTTCTTCGCATTTAATTTTGACTCTAGTTCCGTGAGGATATGTCTCATTGCTCACTGTTCCATTAGCAGGTATGTAGCCGTTGTCCTTGCCCATTTTGAAAATGGACACTTTGGTGAAGTGCTTCTCCGGTAAACTAAAGCAGGAAGCTGAAGAAAGTAAGCAAAGAGTTAGTCAGAGCTACGGCTCACAAGAAAAAGCTTTGTTTACATTTGATCTTGTTCAGCTGATGTCGTTTGTGCCGCTGTGCAGCTGATGCAGCTGTGTGCTCGTGATGGATGTGGTGGTGGTGGTGAACTGGATTCAGGATTGCATCATCATCGCTGGTCGCCATCTCATCCGCCTTCATCTCCCTCAGGTCTCGATTGCCTCGACTGAGCTTTGGGTGGAAGAAGCGCACACAGCTGGGCATCACCCCCGGCGACCAGTGGCCGTCGATGCAGCTGGCGCCCAGCGGCCCCTCGACGATGTGGTAGCCCTTGTCGCACTCGTAGAGAATCTGCTTGTTGTTGCCCACACGCCGAACGTAGGAGCGGTAGTCGTACATGCCCATATGTCCTTTTTAACGATAAATATCAGTAGCTGGTAATCCACTTACTTACTGGCACTTGATTATCTACATACCTACTAGCATCACCTTGCCGTGCTCGATGTACCCGGGGAAGGGGCAGTAGATCTGCGAGCACGTCGGCACGCTCATGTTCCACCTGCCAAAGTGGCAGAAGGTGATGTTCGTGCCCTCGAGCATGTACCCGTCTCGACAGCGAAAGACGGCTCGCATGCCGTGGTCGGTCNGAACGTAGGAGCGGTAGTCGTACATGCCCATATGTCCTTTTTAACGATAATTATCAGTAGCTGGTAAACCACTTACTAACTGGCACTTGGTTATCTACTTACCTACTAGCATCACCTTGCCGTGCTCGATGTACCCGGGGAAGGGGCAGTAGATCTGCGAGCACGTCGGCACGCTCATGTTCCACCTACCAAAGTGGCAGAAGGTGATGTTCGTGCCTTCGAGCATGTACCCGTCTCGACAGCGAAAGACGGCTCGCATGCCGTGGTCGGTTTTCGCGGCCATGACCATGCCATTCCGCGGCCGCGGCGGCAGCACCTTACAGCGAGCGGGCACACACCGAGGCAGCTGCGGACTCCACTGGCCATTGGCGCACTCTATGTGCTGGTAGCTTCCTCCGCCGCCGGCACCGTCGGCCGAGGGAATCGACGTGTCCGCCAGTTCGTAGTCGGTGATGCAGCTGACGTTGATCACCGTTCGGTGGGGCAGCCGGACCAGTGGCGCGTAATTGACCACCCGTCCATTGGCAATTTTCGGTACGGTGCAGGGGGCGTTGCAGCGAGGGAAGGGCCAAGGGTCCCAGGTGCCGGCGGAGGTGCAGGTGCTGCTGTTGAAGGCGCCCTCGAATATCATGTTGTCGTAGCAGTAGAAACGAATTCGGCTGCCGATGGTCGTCGAGTCCGCCTCGATGTACCCGTTCGGGAAAGGGGCTAAGGGGCCGCAGTCGATGACTGAGAAGTAGGATGAGATATTAATGAAACCCAACCACCACCACCATCATCAGTACGCACTGTTGCACTGCGGCGTGTCATCCGACCACATTCGATCCGCCTGACAGGTTCGATTGCTGGGCCCGTGCAGTCGGTAGCCACTCTTGCACTGGTAGCTGACCACTGAACCAAAAGTGTAAGCGGAGTAGAATGCACGGCCGTTCTTTGGATCCTCCGGTTGGTCACACTTCACAGCTATTGGGATTGATAAAGTGATTTTATTTGAGATACTCTGCTTGAAGGAATCTGTGTTTTACTCACGTTGACACGTGGGCATGTCACTGCTCCAGAGGCCACTCGACTGGCAGTACCTGATCGCCCGGCCCACCAGTATGTAGCCCTCATTGCAGAAGTAGCTCACCTTGGAGGTGAAGACGTGGCCGGTGGACTCTCGATAGCCGTTCTCAATGTCGCCCGGGTCGCCGCATGATATGGCTGTGCGAAGAAAAATTGTTTTGATCGAAACTACATCAAAACAAAAAACAGCTTACGCATGCACTTGAGACTAGGTCCAATCCAAATGGTGGTGTTGTTCTTCTGCTGACAGGTCGCCTCAGTGGAGCCGGTAATTNCCGGGTCGCCGCATGATATGGCTGTGCGAAAAAAAATTGTTTTGATCGAAGCTTTCACAGCCAAACAGCCACTTCACTTACGCATGCACTTGAGACTGGGTCCAATCCAAATGGTGGTGTTGTTCTTCTGCTGACAGGTTGCCTCGGTGGAGCCGGTGATCTTGTAGCCATTGAAGCACTCATAGGTCAGTGTGGTGTTCAGCTCAAACTCCGTTTCCGTCGACTCGGAAAGTGAGTGCTTTGAGTGAGGTATGGTCGGTGCCGGACCGCAGAGGGCTAAGGGATCAGAAAAATGATTGAAAAAAGCATTCCCCACTTACGTTTCACTTACGTCTGACTTTGCAATTGGGTGATTGTCCACTCCAGGAGCTGTCGCCCTGGCAAACTCTCTCCCTGACGCCTGACATAAAGTACCCGGCGTCACACTCGTAAGTCACCTTCGAGTTGAAGAAGTTCCCATTAGGGGTAGATTTTCGACCGTTGCTAAACTCGCCCAGCTCATCACAGCTCAGGTCTGTCAAAAAATGGTAATGTGAGGTTTGGTGAAGACTTCAAATGCTTGGTGTGGTGGTTACCTGGTCTGACACAGCTCCAGCCGCACAGTCCATCGCAGAGACACTTTTTACGCGAAGAGATACAGTCGCTGTCTGAGTTGCACTTGCGAAGGCAGGTCCGCCCACGGGCCACTGCCTCCTCGCGGTTTCGTGGACACATGCTCTCGTCAGCCAGTGCATACAGCGTCGAGTTCGAGT